CCAAAGACTCATGCAGGCCACTATGAGTGACTTAATCCTTCAGATCATGCTCGTGTACCTAGATGACATATTAGTCTACTCATCAACTTTTGAAGACCATTTGACACGTCTTCAGACAGTGTTGCAGAGACTCAGGGAAACTGGGCTGAAGGTTAAGGTGGAGAAATGTCATTTTCTCCAATCTAGTGTACGCTTTTTGGGTCACCAGATCTCAGCTGAAGGGATAGGTACGGACCCAGACAAGATAGCTGCAGTGAGGCAGTGGCCAGTACCCACCACAGTTAAAGAGCTGAGATCCTTCCTGGGTTTTTGCAGTTATTACAGGAGATTTCTCCATGGATTTTCGCAGCTGGCAGGTCCTTTGCATGATCTGGTTAATGCATGGGGCAAGGAGGACAGTCCAGCTAAATATAAAAACTTGCTGGAAAGTGTGTGGACGCCATCTTGTCAAGAGTCATTTGAACAGCTGAAAGAGAAGCTCACGAGTGCCCCCCTACTTGCTTATGCTGATTTCTCACTGCCATTTGTTGTTGAGACGGATGCCAGCAGTTTAGGACTGGGAGCAGTTCTTTATCAGGTGCAGGGTGGCAGGAAACGTGTTATAGCATACGCCAGCCGAAGGTTGAGAAATGCAGAGAGAAATGACAGAAACTATAGCAGCATGAAATTAGAGCTCCTCGCCCTTAAATGGGCTGTGTCTGAGAAGTTTAGGGGGTATCTCTTAGGCTCCAAATTCACAGTTGTGACAGATAACAACCCCCTCTGCCACCTGAACTCAGCAAAGCTGGGAGCCATTGAACAGCGCTGGGTTGCCCAGTTAGCGCCATTTGACTTTGAGGTGCAGTATCGTCCTGGTCGGTGTAACACAGCAGCCGATACCCTCTCTAGACAGCCATTAGCAGGGGAGCCCCAGCCTGCAGGAGATGAGGAGGAGTTTGATGGATGCATATCCATCTGTAACCTTGTCAGCAGAGGGACAACGCTAGGCCTGGACTTAGTAAGTGCAGGTGTAAAATGTTGTCAGGTGAGGCAGGCCCGGGTCACAGCAGTTGAGCAAGACACCCATTTTACTGATTCCCAAGGGAATACACCCACTCTGCCAGGGTATTCTAAGGAAGAGTTGCGACAGTTTCAGTGCTCTGACCCTACTATCAAGTCCTTTAGGCAGTTTTGGGACAAAAAGAAGAAACCCACACACCAGCAGAGGAGAGGTTTGGCTAAGTCTGTGATTTCTCTGCTCCGGCAGTGGTCACGTATCATGGAGTTGGAGGGATTGTTGTATCGGGTCATTGAGGATGGACATTTGGGGAGGTGTCAGCAGCTCCTTTTGCCAGCTTGTTTAAAGGAAGCTGTACTGGGGAGTGTGCATGATCAGATGGGGCATCAGGGGGTGGAGCGGACCCAGAATCTGTTAAGACAGAGATGTTTTTGGGTTGGTATGTATGAAGAAGTGGACCAGTGGATTAAGAAATGCTACAGATGTGTGCTTACTAAGTTGCCACAGCCCAAGATTCATGCCCCTGTCAAGCCTTTTTTGGCCACTAGACCTCTTGAAGTGGTTGCAGTAGATTTTAGCATGTTGGAGCCAGCCTCAGATGGACGGGAAAATGTGTTGGTGGTTACAGATGTTTTCACCAAGTTCACACAAGCTTTCCCCACACGCGACCAGAAAGCTGATACAACTGCTAAGATTTTGCTTAGAGAGTGGTTCATGAGGTATGGCGTACCAGAGAGGTTACATTCTGATCAGGGCAGAAATTTTGAAAGTGATGTGATTCAGGAACTGTGCAAGTTATATGGGGTTAAAAAAAGCCGTACTACACCACATCATCCCCAAGGTAATGCACAATGTGAACGTTTCAATAGGACACTTCATGACCTATTGCGTACCCTCCCACCTGACAAGAAACGCCGTTGGCCTGAGTATTTGCCAGAATTGGTCTATGCGTACAATGTGACTCCCCATGCCACCACAGGGCACTCGCCGTATTACCTCATGTTTGGAGTGCACCCCCACCTTCCTGTAGATGCTTTACTGGGGCAGGAGCAGGTGCTTGATAAGAGACATGACTGGCTGGTTGTGCATCAGCAGCGCTTAAATGAAGCACATAACAGAGCAAGGCAGTACACGGAGCAGAAAGCAGCGGAAAGGCTTGAGCTGGACAAAACCCGAGTCTATTGCCCCCCTGTTGAAGTAGGTCAGTTAGTTTATCTGCGACACTGGCCCCAAGGCAGGAACAAAATTCAGGACGCCTGGAGCCCTGTGGTTTATAGGGTTGTCGAAGTCCAGGGCAGCACACATGCAGTGGAGCCGGTGGAGGGTGGGCCAGTAAAACGGGTTCACAGAGCTAACCTTAGACCTTGTATTGGCCCAATTCCTGCACCCAGGAAAAAGAAAAATAATGAATCCCCTGTGGTAGTGAGTCCTAGGACAGAAGAGAAAACAGGCTGTTCAGATCCAGATCCTGAGTATGTGTTGTTTGGAGAAACCTCATACCCAAGTGCAGAGCAGGGGTCTGATGAAGCAGTTCAAAGCAGTGACATTTCTGAGTCTGTAAACACTGATGATGCTCGTGTTACTGTACCATCTGACTCTGAGCAGGTGTCCACACCAGAGACAGTTGCTACTGAAACTAACAGGGATATTGGGGTCATTCCACCAACACCAGTGCCCCGTCGGAGTAAAAGAGCTAATGCTGGAGTGCATTCAAACCCTTACCATGTCCCTGTATCAGCATGTCATGCCATCACCTTGAGCCCTGAGGTACTGTCTCAGTTGTTGACTAATTTGGGTACTGCTCTCTTTAAGGAAGCAGTGCATGAGTTGAGATATACCAATTGAGTCACCGGGGACGTTGACTCTTAAGCAGGGGAGTATGTAGCCGGGTGGAAGTTCGATATTATGGGACATGCCACTGGATGGCACTGTTTTTCTTTTGGGGTACCTCTGAGAGCGGAAGGGATCATGGGGATCTACGGAGACATGCACGAGTGCTAGCTTGCATTGGTGTTATGTGGGTGTGCAATGCCTTTTTTCGCTGCGTGATCTGTTTTGAACGCAAAGTGTGCAACAGTTAAGGCACCAGGAGTAGCTGCCACCAACTTCGCCGTTCGTCTCAGAGGGATCCATATTCCGTTTTCTGCTGGATTAATGCACTGTATGTATTTGAGTTCACACTTGTATTATGCTATCTCTGTGGGTAAGAGGGAAATGTACCGTGTTAACTGTTTAATCTTGGCTCTGTATCTATGCAGGAAAAGCCACTACAGTTATTTTTGCACTGCTAAGTTTTGTTTTATTTATGTTTGGGTTTATATCAGACACGAAATGACGCTAGATGTCCTTGAGTTCCAGATGCTGATAAAGTTGGGGAAATAACCTGCAGTAGCAGTGGGTTACCAGAGCACAAAGCTGTTACTGGATAGGAGCTGTCTGTAACAATTTTATTTCTTTATTTTTACAACCTTGTTATTTTCTTCTGAGCACTTACTTTATCATTCAGATTAAAAGAACCCCAAAGATAATCTGTGTTCTGGGCTGGTTAATTTAGCCAGGCTACATTAAGGTCGAATTTGAACGGTGAAATTGAAACTCTTTACTACAGTGAGTGCAAATTACAACGCGTTTGTTTATTGTCCCATCTATGTTCTTCTTGTATTTAAATTCCCCATCCAGAAGGCCATCCGCTTCCTGCTTCTCCATTTTCAGTGGCGCGGTAAACAAATCAAGTGGAATTATGGGAGCGACTTATCTGCGTGTTGCGCTAAATAGTTAAATATTCTAACGTAATTAATTCCAAAATTTAATTATCGCAATTAACGCGTTAATTTCGACAGCTATAAATATAATATAATATAATATAATATAATATAATATAATATATCATGTTGCTATTTAATGTTTTTTGTTCGTGTTGCAGCTGCTCTGTGAGCCAAGCTTTCGTTGTCTAAATTCAATGGCAATATATCTCTGCACCACACGATGGCGATAGATTCTCACAGACAGTCTGTGCTCTGCTTCCGCCACCAGTCATCTTTAAATCTTTTTTTTAATTCAATGAAACCTTTATTTAACTGTCCATCTCGCGGCATTACTTAAAAAAAATCATATTTAAATACAAAGAAGATTAAATACATGAACGACAGTAAATTGATAAAATAAGAGCAAATAAATATATTTACAAATGATAGCAACATCAATGGAATAAAAGCATGAACAGCAGCAGAAGGAGAAAGAGGCCTGTATCTACATTATTACTCTGGCAGCTCTCAGTCTCCATACAGACAGGACACGTTGCAGCGTAATTGCAGACAGGTGCGTGGGCCTGAGCTCCGCCCAGGCAGAATGACGAGTGGAAGAAAGCAGCAACACAATAAACATATGTAGCCTTGCGGAGCCGGCCGGGCAGACACCGAGACAGAGTGCAAAGATTTTATACGTGACAACACACACAAAAAAACACACACAACAAAAATCAGAATGTGTTTGTGATTTGGATTTTTATTTAAAGGTGAAACCTTTTTTCTTTTCTTGTTTTGCCAGATTAGACATTTTGATTCATTTCATTTAGTTTTTTTGTTTTACTTTGATGCTATAATAGATGTTTTTAAAATGTAGTCATATTTAATACTATATTGCATCATGGCAAAACAACAGTCTCCTCAAGCTGCTTTATACTGTAAGGTGAAAACACTACAGTAAAAGCCAGAAAACCCCAACAATCCAATGATCCCCTTTGAGCAAGCACTGGGCGACAGTGGGGAGGAAAAACTCCCTTTAGGAAGAAACCTCCAGCAGAACCAGGCTCAAGAAGGGGCGGCCATCTGCTGCGACCGGTTGGGGGTGGGTGGGCAATCTCAGTCCACGAGGGCCGGTGTCCCTGCAGGTTTTAGATGTGTCCTCGAACCAACACAGCTGATTTAAACGGCTAAATTAGCTCCTCAACATGTCCTGAAGTTCTCCAGAGGCCTGGTAACGAACTAATCATGTGATTCAGGTGTGTTGAGCCAAGGTGAGATCTAAAACCTGCAGGGACACCGGCCCTCGTGGACTGAGAATGCCCACCCATGATATAGGGAGACAAGATGAAGTATACTTCTAATGGCCTATTTTAGCAGTTAATTTTTAACAATCAACTGGTGGTAATCCATCATCAGAATTGAGGAAAGGTGGTGTTGATGGAGACTCTACAGGAGGATTCACTGGGGAAGCCATACCTGCACTTCTGCCAGGGTGTCTTGGACGTACCTGAATAAATGTAGTTTTCCCTGGAAGTGGACGAGGATTAATCTGAGACGGAGTCTCCTCAGAACATCTCCCCATCATGCTTCTATGGTCCAACGATGCCAGCTTTTGTCCTTTCTGTTTTTCTAATTTAAGCTGGAGTTGAGCGTCTTTCACTCTAGATTTTAGATGACCTATCTCTTTTTCTTCATTGGCAGCCTTTTGGATAATCTGGTTCACTGGTCCAATGAGCTCCTCTCTTTGTCGGAATAAAGCGTACTCGGAAGACTTTACCATGTCATTGTACTGCTTTTTAAATGATTCCAGCTCCCGTGTTTTATCTAGTAAAGCTGCATCTAGATCCTTGCATCTGATACGTAGACAGTTCAGCTGTTTTTCAAGAAACTCCTTCGTTGTTCCAACAAAGGGGGTGCCTTCCACTCCGTCTACGTATTTCTTTTTCAAGTAGTGGAACATATCCCTAAATTCCACCTTTTCTTTTCCTCTCAAGTGACCTTCATGTGGAAATGCCTTTTCAAAGGACAAAACGCACTGGCACAATTCCTCTTGGAAGTAGCGCTCTTTCTTCTCCAGCCAATTCACTTTGGATATAAATCTTTCCCGTTGCTTTTTTGTGGAGCGCAGTTTCTCTTCCAGCGCCACCTTTTCAGCCAGTGCCTGATTGTGTGCCGCTTTTACTTTGTGCCGGTCCACTGCTGTCTTTCTGTGGTTTTCCTGCTCTGTGCTTAGGGCCTTTTTGACGTCTTCAATTTTCTTTTTCAAAGAATCAACTTCGTCTTCAAGCATAGCCTTCATTTTCTTTTCCAAGGCCAGAGCTCTAATATTACTCTGGCATTTCTGCTTGATCGCCATATTCTGGGCCTTTTGGTCGTCTATCACTTTGCCCATTTGACCTTTCTCCTCTGTTAATTCTTTCATGTTTTTAACCATAAATTCATTTTCGTCTTGTAACTGTGTATTATGCCACAAAACACCGTCAATCCAACCCTGCGAGGATTGACGTTCTTCCTCGCGTTCCTTAACCGCATTGACGGTCACACCTCTACTATTTTTTACTGCCGTCTGCAGCTTTTCTATTTTGGAGTCATACATGTTGATCACCTCTTCTAACTTCCTGTCTGCAGCATTTGCTTTGTTTTCCAGTTTTTTAGTATTTTCCTGGTAAAACTGCTGCATCTTATTTTTTTCCTCTTTGTGGCGTTTCAATAATAATTCAACAACTTGGCTGTTGTGAAATTGCTGACGTGCCACCTTTTCTTTCTCTGTTTCCAGCAGTCCTTGCAGGACTTGGACTTCGTCCTCGTGTTTTTCTTTAAGCTCAGCCAGAGTTTTCTCCGTCTCTGCGCGGAACTTTACCAGAGCTTCGTGGTCATCTTTTATCGAGTCCAACCTGTCTGCGATGTTTGTCCTGTCATCCAAGACCGAACCCAGCAGCTTATTATTCTGCAAAAGTTCATTGTTTTCTTTTGTTAGATCCTCGATCCGTTTCTTATTGACTGTATGCAGGTTTTTGAAGTAGTCAAGCTCAGTTTTGAGCTTTTCAACCTCGTCGATCATTGGCTGCAGTCTTTGCTCGAACTGTCTGGCATATGTTTCTTTTTCTTTTTCACTTTTTTTAACCATTGTTTTCGAGAAATTAACATTTCTGTCTTTGTTAGCTTTCGAACTCATTTCTGCTTTTTTATGTGCTGTATCACTCCAACAAAACGATAGCTTAATGAATTCCCTTTGACAGCTGTCCTCTATTTATAGACTTGAACATCAAAGGATGAAAGGACTGTCACTATGACATCACCACGTTCTGTGACGTAACAGGGCTTTGGAGCGTGATGTCACGGGGGTGGGCGTGGAAAGGATTTTGGGGGTCTAAACAAAGCGTGTCTTTTTTTAAAAACTTTATTTAACAAACAATGAGTATACAACATACGAACAGATGAAGTATACAACAGAACATGAACACAAAAAGCCAAGGGTGAAAGAAAAAGGTAACAATTATAAGAATACACGCAAAAATTCACATACATATATTGTTGTGAGAGCCTTTTTGTTGGTGCAGTCTGATATTGATTGTATGTGCATGTGCACATCCTTAAAATAATGACAGAAATATGGTGTTTTGTTAGTAAACTTACATTTATGGATAAAAAATTTAGCTAAAAGTATTAAGAAATTAATCATAAAAAACATTTCTCATACTTCTTGGGGAACTTAAAGAAACAGAATAAAACATTTTCCCATCGTAAAGAAAACTCCCTTAAAATATGGACAATAACAAAGCTGCTAAATTCCTTCCAGAATCTCTGTGTAAAAGAACAGTACCAAAAAAGATGTGTCACCGTTTCTGGATGATCCCCACAGAAAGTACAATTAGTATTTATGTCCCTTTTGAATTTGACCATGTAGTGACTGGCTGGATAACATGTATGTCGAATTTTAAAAGAGACTTCTTTCACCTTATTTACAATCAAATATTTATGGGGGACCATCCAGACTGTCTTCCGCTTGATATCTGGAACACTGATTGGAAAATTATATAGTGCAATAAAGTCGTTGTAAGTAAGTAGTTGTCCCTCTTTACTAACCAGCTGAGCCACCAATAGGATCCCATTTTGGAGCCAAGTTTCCAGGAAAAGTGATTTATTTTTCTATAAAATATCTCTGTTGTTCCAGATAAGGTATTTGTGAGGTGAGAAGTTGTGTTTATAAATGAGGGTCCACGCTAAGAGGACCTGCTTATGGAAGGATGAAAGCTTTACAGGGACTTTCTCAACATTGTAATTACAATTTCAAATAAAAGTAAAGCCACCAAAACGAGAGAAAATGTGGTATGGTATAAAGTTCCAGATAGAGGTAGGGTTTTAAGAAAATGTTTGGCCCAATTAATTTTGAAAGTGTTATTTAAAGTAGAAAAGTCTAAGACGTTAAGCCCACCTGATTCGTACTTATTCATCACAACAGTTTTTCTAATATAGTGCGTACGGTTTTTCCATATAAAATTAAAGAGCATACGGTCAATATCTTTACTACTTTTCTTATCCAGATGTAAGGAGAGAGCAGCATATGTTCATCGGGATATCCCTTCAGCTTTAGTAATTAACACTCTACCTTTCAAAGACAAGTCCCTTGTTCCAAGATGGCGCCGCCGCGTATGGATGCCCCGGTGCTTCAGTGCGTTACTTCTGTTTTGTTTTTGTGCATAACTTCTGTGTCTGGGCACTCCTCTGGATATTCTTACACTAGAGAAGAGCTTCTTAACTACAGGACTACAACACCTGTGGATTTACTTCCAATATTTGTCGCATCTGCGGCAGATTTACTGCAGACTCTGATCAGGAAAGTGAGACGCCGAAAGCGAGGAAAGCGAGCCGGCGCACTCGTGCGTCTGAGGAGACGCGGACTGCGAACTGCTCTTCCTGGGATCTTCCTTTCCGACGTACGCTCACTCAGGAATGAGATGGACGAGCTGGCCCTGATGAGAAGCATGAACAGAGACGTTGCCTCCTCCTGTGTCTTGTGTTTTACGGAGTCGTGGCTCTGTGAGGACATCCCGGACAGCGCGCTCAAGCTGGAGGGCTTTCATCTGCTGCGCGCGGACCGGCAGGCCTCTCTCTCTGGTAAGACCACAGGTGGACGTGTCTGCTTCTACATTAATAGTGGCTGGTGCACAGATGTAACAGTGATTGCTCAGCACTGCTCTTCCTCTCTGGAATACCTTTTTATTCACTGCAAACCGTTTTATTCTCCGCGGGAGTTTGCTTCATTCATCTTGGCCGCTGTTTACATCCCGCCAGATGCGGATGCGCAGGCAGCTCAGTGCGCACTCGCGGAGCAGATACTGCACATGGAGCGGACATTCCCGGACTCTCTCATCATTGCTCTTGGGGACTTTTACAACACCCCCCTCCTCACCCCACACAAAAGAGGATTTCACACCACCTCCTCCCACCACAACCCTTCATATTCATGAAGCAGATGCGAGGAAGCAGTTTAAGAGTCTGAATGCTCGGAAAGCTCCCGGCCCAGACGGTGTGTCTCGTCTACTGGACGCAGCCGGAGGGTTCACTTGGTTGTTTGCTCTCAATAGAAGCTGAGCGCGTCTCCGTGTCTGTGCTGGTAAACGATACTGAGTCCCAGTGCTCAGTAAACTGTACACCTGACCGTTATTCTCCCACTGAATCCGGTGTGTCCACGGTCCAACACGTGCTCAACACGATGGTGCTGACCGGTGCCCAAACACACCAGAACACCAAATAAGTAAAATAACACAAACACGAACTTCTCCATGGCTCGTCGGGATGGCAACTGCTCCAAAAGTGACACATGAAATAGGCTGACATTTGAGTTTGACACGGGAGGTGAGGGGGTGTTTTGAATATGCTTGACTCCGTCACGAGGTTGCGCACAGCATCACCGGCAAGGGGGCTTGGTTTGAGAGGTTTTTGGCATCTGTGATGTGATTTACAACCATCCACCCATGTACAGCAAGAAGCCGCACTCACAACCGTGGGCATCAGCAAGTTGGTGAAATTTAAACAAAACAAAACAGCATTCCATCTGAAACTCTCTTATTGTACCCAAAATACAAATTTTAGTGATTACATGTGGCTTCATTAATTATGTTCAAACGGATGAATACATAACGCAAGTAATAACTTTATGATCAGTCAGTGAATGAAGGAGCTCAAGAGTGCAAATATAGTTGCAATAAAGTGACAAATATGCCCTTTTATGTCAAACAAAGACCGAAATAAGTGGCATCAGTGTGAGGATGAGAATGAGCGATCCAACCTCACACTGCAGATATCAGGGCAAAGCACAGTGGGGGGGTTGCAGTCTTCTTGGCTGGACCTTCTTCTGCAGTGTGTGATCTTCTAGGAGAGTCTTCATGCAGCATGCCTGCCAGTGTGGTCCACACTGCTTCTCTGTCAGTCTTGGGCACACTGCGTAGGTCTTTAAAACGTGGGTCCAGTGCAGTTGCGATCTGGAGCCATGCATAGTTGGTATGTTCCTGGCGGGAAGCAAGGTCTTCCTTAAACTTCTCTTTAAACCTCACCACATATGCAGGGTCCTCATCAGTTACTTCCATGACACGGCGCAGGTGGCAGAAGGCTGGTAGAACTACAGAGCAGGAGACATAGGCCTCTCCTCCCAGCAGTTCAGTCACATATCTGCAGTGGAATACACACACACACACACACACACACACACACACACACACACACACACACACACAGACAGAGAGAGAGAGATAAGACAGCAAATTAAAAAAAGCTTTTTAATACTAGGTAATATTAATAAAATATTTGATTTCATTTATTTTTTAAATAAGACATTTTCATAATAACAAAACTGATTTAAGATGTATGTTTGATACATTTAATCTAAACCTACAATTATGGTCACAATGACAGGCTCACCTGCAGGGCTCTAGAAGTGTCTCCAGTCTCTGGAGTTTGTCCCACTCTGGAGGCGTCAGGAGGACAAGTTTATGCTTTTGTTTATCCAGAGTCGCGGTTACTGCAGTTTGGTTGCGGATCAAGCGCTTCACCATCTCCAGCGTGGAGTTCCAGCGCGTAGGCACGTCCTGGGCCAACGGCTCCTGCTTGCGCCCCAGTGACACCTGCTCTGCGTTCAGCTCTGCTGTGTTTGCTGGGCTGTGCTTAAAATGGCCAACAATTTTGCGGCATTTGGCCAGCGCAGTGACAAAGCCACTGTCTGCGAGACTCACTGTGATGCATCTCTGTAGAATGTGCGCGGTACACGGCATGTGATTGAATGGCATGATGCGAGCCGCGGCGATCATATTGCGCGCACTGTCCGTGCCTACTGTTGTCACCTTCTCCTCAATTCTCCACCTGCGAGCAACAGTCTGGAACTGCTCTGCACAAGCCTCCGCAAAGTGCCGCTCTTCCGTTTTCATTATAGTCAGCGCAAAGGATGTCAGACCCCAGGCTTCAGTGATTAAATGCGCAGTAACTCCCAGGTAATTGTCATTACTCAATGATGTCCAGTGGTCTCCTGTCAGAGCCACGCATTCTGTGTGAACTAAAGCCTCTTCTTTTTTCTTTTTCTCCGTTTCATACAGTTCGTGGATTCGAATTGTTATTGTGCTTCTCGCTGGGGGCTTGTAGGACGCGTCCTGAGATGCAACCTTTAAAACATCCGCAAAGCCCTTGTCCTCCACAATGCTTAGCGGTCTGCAGTCCTTTGCTATCCATTTGGCTATATTGTCGGTCAGTTTGTCCAAAGAAGACTTACCGAGTGGCCTGCGTTCACTAAGAGTGGTCTGACGCAGGCCGGGTGAAGCTGCTGCCCCGACAAACGCGTGTTTGGCATTAAGGTGGTATTTTAAGGTCGAATTTGAACGGTGAAATTGAAACTCTTTACTACAGTGAGTGCAAATTACAACGCGTTTGTTTATTGTCCCATCTATGTTCTTCTTGTATTTAAATTCCCCATCCAGAAGGCCATCCGCTTCCTGCTTCTCCATTTTCAGTGGCGCGGTAAACAAATCAAGTGGAATTATGGGAGCGACTTATCTGCGTGTTGCGCTAAATAGTTAAATATTCTAACGTAATTAATTCCAAAATTTAATTATCGCAATTAACGCGTTAATTTCGACAGCTATAAATATAATATAATATAATATAATATAATATAATATATCATGTTGCTATTTAATGTTTTTTGTTCGTGTTGCAGCTGCTCTGTGAGCCAAGCTTTCGTTGTCTAAATTCAATGGCAATATATCTCTGCACCACACGATGGCGATAGATTCTCACAGACAGTCTGTGCTCTGCTTCCGCCACCAGTCATCTTTAAATCTTTTTTTTAATTCAATGAAACCTTTATTTAACTGTCCATCTCGCGGCATTACTTAA